AAGAAATACAGCAGGGGAGGAACCTGTGTACCAGACTGCATGTTCTTAACTGGGTCAGTATTCACAAAATGACGTATAAAGTGATTATTAATATAAAGCTTTAAAGGTGTAACATGTATGCAGGTTGTTAGAGAGTGAATGACAAGAAGGAGTGGTATTAAAGAAACAAGCAGTGATTTAGAGAATCGATATTTTCTGATAGTTTTAAACAGAATTTAAATTTTAAAGCACAAATACTCGCACCCTGTTTGAACTGCCACATTGCTGGATTATGTGCAAATACAGATAAAGTACATGCTTAATCGCGTCCACCGTGCTCTCTGTGCACAAATCAGCAGGGGAGACAAATCGAATAACTGATTCAAAGGCATTGCCACCCAATTCTAGTGTATTATAAGTGAAGACTAAGAAGGATTACTGTGTATAGGTCTATACATTGTTAAGGAAAATCCTGAGCATTGGTCCTAAGATGTGACTAATGTCTGCTGTAAGTCTTTGAACTTGAATAGAAACTGAGTTTATGCCTCGATTGCAGGAAGCAGAGGGAGTTTGCTACTAAGTCAGGGGAGTGTCTGCCCTGTCACCCTGAGTGTAAGGTCCAGGAGGGGAAGGAGACGTGCACAGGCCCGGTATGTTTGACTTAAAACTTCTAGAAGGAAAAAAAAGAAAAGAAAAGAACTGGCATAAGGCTTCTGCTGCCACCTAGCGGCCGTACAAAAAATGGCTGTCCACCATAATGCCACTCACCTTCAACTCTTGCAAAAACCTTTCTGCTTTTATTCACCCTTTTTTTTTTGTCTGCAGGGAGCAAATAAATGTCTAGCTTGTGCCAGCCTGAAGGATGGCCCACACTGTGTCTCCATGTGTCCTGAGGGTGTTATGGGGCAGGAGGGAACCATCTTTAAATATCCAGACAAGGAGGGCAACTGTAAACCTTGCCACAACAACTGCACCCAGAGGTAAGTACAAGTGGAATGATGTAGTTAGAAACACACAATTTGCTTCTTTAAACTGATCCCCTGTGTTTATTGTTTTTAGGTGCACCGGTCCAGGAATCGGGGACTGTACAATATCATCTAGGTACATTTCAGGGTAAGTTCTCCTCTCATTCTGATATATGCTGTATGTAATTTTGACATTCAAGTATTAAGAGCTGACACTGTGCCCCTTTGCCTTTAGGCAAATGACCACGGCTATCGTACTGGGAGTGATTGCCCTCATCTTTGCTTCCTTCTCCATTTTCGTGCTAAGTATTCTCTACCGCCGAAGTGTCGCTATTCGTCACAAGCGAGCCATGAGAAGATACATGATGAATAGCGAAGTCAGTATCTGTATTCGAGTGTTACTGTGCCACTTTGCTTGTTTTGGGTTTGTCATAATGCATGCCCCTGTGTGCCTGCAGAGTTTTGAGCCCCTGGAAGATAAAGGGACAAAATATGAAGCTCGGACCCTTAAACATACAGAGCTGCGTAAAATCAGGCTGCTGGGTAATGGAGTGTTTGGATCAGTCCATAAGGTACTTGAAGAGACAGACTCCTATAAAATGCTCCTCTTGTGCATTTGACTTTCTATTTAACAAATCATGAATCTGTCTCTCTGCACCTCACAGGGCATTTGGATTCCTGAAGGCGACACAGTGAAGCTTCCTGTGGCCATTAAGACGATTGATGACCGCAGTGGTCGTCGGAAATTCTCTGAAGTGACCGATGTAAGAAACATAAAAAAAAGAAGAAATGTGCTAAAGAGATATATTTTCAGAACCAATCACTCACTGCCTATGCAGAACCACATGCCAAGCTTCTAGGCAATGAGCATTTGACACTGAAAGTATGGATTATACAGATTTTTTGTTGTGGAGCACCTCCTTTAATACCATATAGCTCGGTGATTGTTGACACTAAATGAAATCCCTAATGATCTACTTATTCGCTTGCTACAGCACATGAGGACGATGGCAAGTCTGAACCACATTAACGTTGTCAGGACCCTGGGTATCTGTCCCGGTGACAGCCTGCAGCTTGTTACCCCGCTCAACAGGCAAGGCTCGCTGCTAGCACATGTAAAGAAAAATAAGGGCAAGCTCAGCCCACAGAGGCTGCTCAACTGGTGTGTTCAAATTGCAAAGGTATGGAAGAAAAATGCTTAATATTTTTTGTTTGATGTCAAACTTTTTTTATATATATATATGTATACACTTTGGTTTATTCCTCCAAGTACTTCACCACCACTGTTGCTCTCTCCTGTCAGGGTATGAATTACCTGGAAGAGAACAGGATGGTTCACAGGAATCTGGCTGCCAGAAATGTACTCCTGAATGATAATTTCACTGCCCAGGTTTCAGACTATGGCATTGCAGACCTGCTCTACTCCGATGACAAGAAGTACTATTGCAACGAGCCCAAGGTCTGTTTTGTTTTTTGTTTTTGTTTTTTAGCAGAAAACGTGACATCTGGTCACACTTCTTTAAACAGTGTTAAATACCTTGCACACCTTAAAACATTATGCTGTTTTCTTTCAATGACTTGACTGCTTGTTCTGCTGTTTTTACTCAAGTAACCAAGAGATAACTTTTCTGTTCACAATCTTAGACACCAATCAGGTGGATGGCCCTGGAGAGCATCTTGTTTCGCAGATACACTCATCAGAGCGATGTTTGGAGTTATGGTGAGTTTTAAAGCGCTTTACCAGCACCAGATTGTTTCATACTCACGTATTAAAGTACGCAAATTTTGGAGTCAGTATAGGAGAAGTGTAAATGCAGGCCACACTAAATTCCTCACCCTGCTTTAGGTGTGACAATATGGGAAATGATGTCTTATGGAGCAGAGCCGTATTCAACGATGCGACCACAGGAGGTTCCCGATCTGCTGGAAAAGGGCGAGCGTTTGCCCCAGCCTCAAATTTGCACCATAGATGTCTATATGGTCATGGTTAAGTGTGAGTACCTCACTAGTATTTCTCATTTTCATGTGCAACCAGTAGTGCAAATACCAGTGGCGTGGACTGAGGGATTGCAAAAAAAATATGTTGGACTGAAATGTCTGTGTGCCATTAAGTTTAGTATAAATTCATGGAGCTCAGAAGATGATTTGGTTCATAAACCTCTGATTTTTTTATCTGCCACGTCCATTAGGCGTGACATATGAATAAAATGTTAAAACTAATTTGCACATTTTAACCTTACATTAAAATAAATATGAAAATGACTGAAAGCCGCCGAGTATTAAGTAGGCTGTCAATTCTTCATTTTGTAATTGGTTCCGATGCCCTTTTATGACTCTCCAGGTTGGATGATTGATGAGAATGTCCGTCCAACATTCAAGGAGCTGGCGAGTGAATTTACCAGAATGGCCAGAGACCCACCTCGCTACTTGGTGATCAAAGTAAGACAGTTTCATCACAGTACAGTAAAGTGGAGCTTCAGTTAAAGCTATGTGTAGTTTGCTTATATATATATATGATTTGCCTTGTTTGGCCAGGAGGACTGTAGCCAACAGGACCCATCCCCAGATGAACCCATCCAACGAAGTGCAGACCTGGATGACTTGGATGATGTAGATGTCAACCTTGAGGACCCGTTGGCAGATGAGAAAGAAGATGACTTGTCTCCAGCCAACTACTACATGGCAAAAAGTCTCAATCGTTACTCTAGGATGGACACTCACAAAGTAGGGCATACCACTTTCCTCTAAACTTAGTGTCAACTTTATAAATCATATTCCTGGGCAGGATACTGAACCTCAAAATTTCCCCAATGCACGATTTTTTTTTTTCAAGTGTTTAATGAATGTGCATGTGTGTGTGTGTATGTGTGTGTGATATCATCCATTTACTGTCTGTCTTTTCTTATAACAGGTGATTCTTAATCCATCCAGCGGAACTGGATACCTGCCCATGACCTCAGGTGTTGACAACCATACACAGGTAGATAAAAGAGACTTTTGTGGTGTTAAACCAATTCGTAGTGTTTATACACATGACCAGAACGAGTCCACTGAAGATTTCTGCTGTTACCAATTTGCCAATAGAGTTCTGATTGTGTTTTGTTGGGTAGGCGATGTGGCAGTCACGCTCTCGGCTAAATTCTGCCCGTACTGTGTCCGAGAGCTCGGAAGGCTGCGGCACTGGAATGGAGATGGAGATGGGTGAGGACTTCCCCTTAGCAGGGAGCCTGAAAAGAAGACGTCATCGTGAGGACAGCGCTTACGTGTCGCAGAGAGACAGCATGTCCGGCGGGCCACCTGAGACTCCCTCACCAGAGATGGAAGAAGAAGATCAAAATGGATATGTGCTTCCTGGAGGGAGCCCGGAGAGAGGTGATACCATAACTGTTAATTTACAACACACTAACAGTTACCGCTTGGAAATGAGCAGCAGCCCTAGAAGATTAGCTGTACTAAGCCAGCTGTTTAAAATACTTTGTCTTTATAGACCCAGTTTAGCTAGTCTTTGTTGTTTACTGTTATCTGTTTCTTTCAGATACGTTGCTTTTCTCATCGCGAGCTGCTCCTGGGAGGATGGGAAAGTCTCGTTCATCAGAGCTCCTGGATGACCCAGATGATGAAGAATACGAGTACATGAACAAGCAGGTGTGTTTAACGCCTGTATCACTCAGGCAAGGCAGCCAGTGGCTGAAGCCGAACAAGAAGCGAACCTCTTCAATGTCATCACACGTGACAGCGTCCTCATGTGACACCGCTGTGTCGGTGGAGGTCAGGGGAAGCTACACCAGGAGCAAGGACAACTCTGACTCCGAGCAGCAGGGTTCCAGTGAAGTTGAGTATGAATACATGGACATCAGAGGCGGCGAAAAGCTGGAAGGTCCGCCAGTACGTGACCCTCCTCCTCCTCCAGCTCCTGTGAGGATGAGCAGCAAGGTGGAAGAGGAGGAGGATGAATACGTGGAGGACGGTAACTATCATTACACAAACAGGCAGCCAAAGCTACGACAGGCTCTGCAAGACAAGAAAGAGCTGAAAGTAGAGGGGACAGAGGCGGATGAATACGAAGATATGGACTGCTTTTCTGCCCCACCACCTGGCGGAGATGGTGTGGTGTATCAAAACTTACAGAGGGAGGAAAATGGGGCAGCTGGGCGCAGAGAGCAACACCAGTATGTGCGGGCCGGAGTCAGGGTCACGGAGCCTGCTGTCGGTGACAGATCTTTCGACAACCCAGGATACTGGCACAGCAGGATGTTTCTTAAGCCCAGTGCTGTGCCGACATGAAGAACATTTTAAATCTCATGGACTTCCCTCTCAAACACAGTCATGAAGGATCTGAAATGAGAAAAGCAACCAAAAGCCACGTTAAAGATGTAGCATGTAACAAAATGTACAAAAAACCCCAAACAACACGTGACTATTTTGCAGCTTTGTCCTTTGTTATACACCAAAATTGTTTTTATTATGTGATACAAGCTATATTTTTGTGTTTACATTGTAAATAAAGAGATTTCAGGTAAGAAATTGTGACAATATCATTTGAAGAATCATTTAAAGATGTTTACTCAATAAAAATATTTTGAATACTTGGTATGGAACTGCAACATTTATATTTTAAATGAGCTGGTGAACTGTATAATGATGCAAAGTGTGCAACCTGTCAAAGGGCGCACATCTAATTACAGATTAACAAATATCCTTGGCTGAGCTATAGACATTTGCTCAAGCGGTAAATGCTCCCACAGGAGAAATATAATTATTAATGCTTCATTGTTCTCAGCTACAACTGGGGGAGAAGTCAGTTACACCCTGTAAAAGGTGCTAGAAGCAAAAAAAAAACCCCACAGTTATTATCCAAAAACTGAGAGAAACTAACTTTTACACCATTTGGCGAGGCGGTCGTGACCCTCGTGCCGGATGTTTCACAGCCATGGTTTAAACGGCGGGCTGGGGTCGCTTTACGTCAGGGTGAAGTGGGAGGGGCTTGGGGTAGCAGCTTCGGTCAGAGCTGAGCCGAGCCGAGCCGAGGGGAACTGTCGCTGTCCAGAGCCGACTAGCGACTTCAGACTACACTGCCAAGATGTCCGACGACGAGCAAGAACAGACTATAGCCGAGGATCTGGTCGTCACCAAGTACAAGATGGGCGGTGACATCGCTAACCGTAAGTTAATGTCAGCGAGTAACTGTCGGTGACTGGATGTGACGACCTGCTCTTTTCGGCCTGTCGTACAGCAGCTAACGTTGGTTCCCTATAGCAGCAACCATGTGGTTTAGATTCGAAGCACACATATGCTATCACATCTAGCTAGCTAGCAGGTGCAGCCGGGTCGATTGAAAGCTGCTTTTAACTGAATAACTGAGCGACTGCTCGGCTTTCTGCTATTGTTACCCAACAGCAGCGATAGGGTTTCTTACAGGCAGCTGTCTGTCTCACTAACTAGTGTGGGATGCTAACAAACCAGCTAGCTTAGAATGGTGACCGGTGTTCGGCTGTAAATGTCACGTAAACGGTCACGAGCTGAAGCTCTTTTAAAATACGCTTATGGTGACAGTTGACATTCATGGTCAGTCGACAGCATGAAAGTTGCTCTAAAATCATTCACATAAGGCTTCTTTGTGCATTTAACGACCAGCACCTTGTGGTTTCATGATCACTGCTCCATTATATGATGAAAACACAGGAAACACCTGCATTCTATAGATCTCAAACATCGCACAAGATGTATGGTTGTATTTAACAATTTAAGCGTTTAATTAGGTCGAGGTACTTGGTCAGATTAATACTGTAATGAAAAACAAACTTAAATCTATCCATTTAATCTATTTGGATGATTAGTGCAGTCAGGAGATGGGACATATTTGCTGTGGCACTACGTCATAGTACATTAAATGCATATCCTGGCCACCACAGTTTATATTTGCTAACATGATCAGAAAAAAAACTTATAGTGAGCTAATGCATCAACCTGCCTGACTTCCCTCCTGTCTCATCCAGAGGCTCTCCGTCTTGTCATGGAAGCAGCCAAACCTGGGGTGTCAGTGCTCAGCCTCTGTGAAAAAGGTGACGCCTATATAATGGCGGAGACCGGGAAGGTCTTCAAGAAAGAAAAAGAAATGAAGAAAGGTGAGGCCCGCATCTGCCCATTATGGGTTTTTGTGTTTGTTTTTGTTTTTTTTCTGAGGTGGACACATCAAGGAAATTAGATCAAGTAGAACAAACTGTTGGCAGTGTTTTCTGTGTCATTTCACACAGCATCAAGTAACTCGAATAGCAGCAGGGGCTTTAAAAACTAGCATGGTGACAGAGTAGATCTTCTAAATGATATACTCCTCCATACTCCATTCTTGTATGGCTTTCTTGATTACATTTGTGGATCATTTCCAAATGAAGACTTGGTGGTTCTCTTCTCCCTCTTCTAGGCATTGCGTTTCCTACCAGCGTCTCAGTCAATAACTGTGTTTGCCACTTCTCTCCCCTGAAGAGTGACCCTGACTACACACTTAAAGATGGGGATCTGGTCAAAATGTAGGCACCATGCTCTGCAATAATGTTACCCCCTCCTTTCCCCGTGTGTCTCTAGTCTCCCAATGTATTGTCCTCCCTACTTTCTGTGTGATAGCTCCGCTTTCTCTTTGCTGTCGATTGTGTCCTTCATCTCTATGGTCTTGCCTCTTGTGTGTGCTGTGTGGCAAACGACAAGTAAGGTTTCTTTTTAGAACGGGTGGTATGCCGGATGTTAGCTTTACTGCCCATCTTATCCGCTTATCAAATGCAGCATTTGGCTTTGAAAAAGAAAGTAGATTCATCTTAGTTGTTGCGTTGCCACTAATGTCTTTGTCCTCTGTAACGTCTTTGTGCTGTGTGTGGATATTCAGTGTTGTAAAGATGTTTCTTCAAGTGTCGTGATGTGGTTTTTACACTTTTTGTTTTGTTTTTTTTAATGTGTCTCACTTTGCTAACCTCTTTGCTGGGCACGTCTGGAAAGTTTAATACAGTCGGTAATGCTGTTGCCTTGAATTCATAATAAGTCCTTCACCATATTCCAGCTGATCTACTGCCAAAAAAGAAACTCACCTTGGGTTATAGCTTCCATTTATTGCAGATTAAATTGTGTATTTTTGTCTGACCTTCTCTTATTATTGTAGTCTTCACTAAGCTAATTTTCCAAAGTGGAACGATCTTTTGTCCTTCCCAGTAGATTTGATCTGATTGCTTCCTGCATCAGTACTAGTACATTTGACAGCCGGGTAGCACTTAACTAAAGGCATGATCTATATATATATCCTACAGTTATTTAATTCTTTCGTTTTTCCTTTTCTTCTGATTTTGTGTAGCGATCTCGGAGTTCATGTTGATGGCTTCATCGCCAATGTTGCTCACAGCTTTATCGTGGGAGCCAGTAAGGTGAAAAAACAAAAAAGCAGACACATGTACATATCACACCTTGGTCACAGTTTTGTATCATCTCATGTGAGTCCTGAAGTCGTCTTTTTTCGTTTTTCTATATGCAGGAGAACCCCATCACAGGCCGGAAAGCTGATGTGATCAAAGCAGCTCATCTGTGCGCAGAAGCAGCGCTACGCCTCGTGAAACCTGGTAACCAGGTACGTTTGAGTGTTTCATGAGGCTTTTCCACGTCAGCTGTGATCAGGTCTAATATTCTCTGCAGGGGTGTGCTGTGGTCATCAAAACATCTAAATGACTTGCTGTAATTATTAATTTGGCACAGGTCTTACTTTTTTATGCATTTTTGATAAGTGGAAGAAAATCAATGGACGTGTAATTTGCTCCAGTGGTGCTTCTTTGCTACTCTTTAGTCCGAATATAGCTCGAATACCATCATAGACTAGTTCTGCTACAAACTAGGTGTGAACTTATTTGCAGTTTCACATGTATTTTAACGGTTATCTCGTACAAAGATGTAATTTTTGGATGTGAAAGTAATTAATTTTTTCTGCCTCAGAACACTCAAGTGACAGAAGCCTGGAACAAGATCGCACAGTCGTTCAAGTGCACACCTATTGAGGGTGAGTTCCTATAAAAACCTTTGTATTTTAATGTGCTGTCTGTCTTCACATAACAAGATGATGATGTGTGGGATTAATGAAATGTATGGGAATGTTTTCATGGAAACAGTTCATGTTTTAAGCTTATGGATTCTGCCCATCTCTTTGTTTTAAAGGTATGCTGTCTCATCAGCTAAAGCAACATGTCATAGATGGAGAGAAGACCATCATCCAGAACCCAACAGACCAGCAAAGGTACATCTTTGCAATAAATATGAACTAAAGACAAAATCACCCTCAGTTTTCTTCCACTCGTCCAATTCAGGGTTATAGTTTGGGTGGAGCCTATCTTAGCTGTAACAGTGTGAGAGGCAGGGCACACCCTTAAAAGGTCACCAGTCTATGACGAAGCTATCACAAAGACACAAACACACTTTCACACACGTGTTCACACCTACAAAAAATTAAGAACAGTCAGTTAACCTAACATGCATGTTAGTCTCCCAAATCAAAGAGGAACCTAACATACACAAGATGCCACAAAGCTGCTGCAGTTGCAGGCACTTTTAATAATTCAAAAATAATTACTTTCAAAGATCGAATACAAATAAGAAGAACTGGAGCCAACGCAAAAACAAACAAGAGGAGGAAGACAGAGAACCGACCACTCAGTGGGCTGGTTCGGATTCAGGTTTATCTTCTAAAAATAATGTTAATAAACTAGTAAAACTGAAACAGGGCTGCTGATAGCTCCCAGCTTAGGAAATAATGAACAAAACTGTTAAAAGCAACTGAAGGAGCAAACGCACGTACAAAAGAGACTGCTCTGTCTCCTCTGAATTTATATGAGGGTGAGTGAGCCTGCTTGCTAGGGATGAATGCAAGAGGAAAGAGCAGGCTTAATATGGATGATAGAAAAATGATAACCAGATGGTAGATGTGCACACTGAGCCGTGCATAACAAATGGCTACGTCATTTGAAAAGATTAAAAAAAAAAAAAAAATACTGCATGGGCTTGTGACTTTTTTTAATAAATCCAAGTTCTCTGTAAAGACGGAAAAAGTCCAAGATCTTTAAATTATTTTGTCCTTCAGGCTTGACTCTCGTACGACAAACTTGCACAAACATTTTCGCTCAGGCTATCCCACCACTGAATTTGATCAGTTTTGGAGAATCCCACTGCTGAACTTCATCCACCTTCCAGTGCAATCCAAAGAAATCTGTTTTGTGATGCTAACTCTTGTACAACTATAGAAAATCTGGTTATGTGACAGTTTTTTCAGTCATGAATTAGAAAGAAAGAAAGTTTCATAAATATATATTCATGTAATGTGTTGCTGTCCAGTGCAGGGTAGGTATGGGCCAAGTTATTATTTTTGAATATTGGCATCGCCCCAGAATGCAGCTTTTCTGCTTGTGTGCCGATGTCAACAGCGGTAGTTGTGCTGCATTGGAATGAAAAATATTTAGAGGGAGATCCTCCTGAGTAACTGGAATGATTTTTGTGGGACTGTTTGTATTGTGGAATAAAACTGACGCTCGCAATGTGTTTTGACTGCCTGCTCTTTCTGTTGATTGTCAGAAAAGACCATGAGAAGGCGGAGTTTGAGGTACATGAAGTCTACGCTGTGGATGTGTTAATCAGCACTGGAGAAGGAAAGGTTTGGTGTTTTTCTTCTTTGTTTGTGAATGAATGTTATGATTCTGCTCCCAGTAATCAGCACTGAAGTATTGTGTTCTATGCAATTTGCTTTTAGGCCAGAGACTCAGGTCTGAGGACTACGATTTATAAGAGGGACCCGAGTAAACAATACGGCTTAAAGATGAAGACCTCTCGTACGTTCTTCAGCGAGGTTGAGCGACGTTTCGATGCCATGCCCTTCACTCTCAGGTGGGAACACCACACTTTACTTGTAGCCAGCTGACAGCGAGTTGGTGCTAACAGCCATTTTTCATTCAGAGCTTTTGAGGATGAGGCCAAAGCCCGACTCGGCGTGGTGGAGTGTGCCAAACATGAGTTGCTACAGCCCTTCAGTGTGCTACATGAGAAAGAGGGTGAGCGTCTTGGCTCTCTGCTAGACACGTTTGAATTATTCACAAGCTGTTAACCCTACGCCTGTATCCTGTTCTCAGGAGAGTTTGTAGCTCAGTTTAAGTTCACGGTGCTGCTGATGGCCAACGGGCCTCACAGAATCACCAACGGACCTTTAGACCCAGAGCTGTACAAGTCAGAGCATGAAGTTCAGGATCCAGAGCTAAAGGTAAGAATGATAATAACAATAATAAATATATATACAATAAGTCAATTTCATTAAACGTCTTGTTCGCATCATGTCAAACTGTGTTGTCTCTTCTCTAGACTTTACTACAGAGCTCTGCAAGCCGCAAAACACAGAAGAAAAAGAAAAAGAAGGTAATATTTTATTATCAGTAGTAGTAGTAGTAGTAGTAGTACATGCCAATGCATTTAAACCTGACTTCATAAGTTAATGTTTCAGATGGTGTGATTTGATATTGATATGGTAAACATCACAGTTTGGAAATATCAAAAATGACTGTATTTAGCGTTTGCTGACTGAGATGTTATTGTTGTGAAATTAAAGTGGTAAGTGCCCTGATTGTTTAGCAGTAGTTTGTGGACAGAGATGAAGGAAGGAAGACTCGTGTATGCTCATGCTGCGGTATTGTTTGGCCTGTTAGCGCTTTTGGCTGTGAAATGAAAATGATATAATCAGGGTGCGCATATAATAAGTGGTGTGCATTCGCTGTCAAAACAAAAGACACGCACCAGATAAGAAGTTGCAACGCGTGTTTGCGTACATAAGATTTTCTAGAGGAGGACAGACATTTGTTTAGCACTCTTAAAAATATCGAAGAAGCAAACTCCTTTAAGCAATTACTTTGGTGTTCCTCCACCTCCAAAGAAATGTCAGAAGGAGTCCGAACTGCAAAAGAAGCGCGTATTCTCGGAAAAGTGGTGCCAAGAGGTGAGCTGGCTTCCAACAAATGATGAACGCACAGAGATGTGGTGCAGAATATGGTGTGAAAATCCCACTCTAGCAGACAAAAACAGTGCCTTTTAATATGTATGCAAACGCGCATTGCAACTTCTTATCTGGTGTGTGTCTTTTATTTTGACAGCGAATCCGCACCTGCAGGCTACTTATGTGCACCCCTGGATATAATGCTTTTAAAAGGTTTTATGGGTACATAATTGATGGGGGGGGGGGATTTTTATTGGTATGTGGTTGTTAGGCAACATAACAATGTCATGATATATGTCATTCAGCTTTTGTGGATCTGAATCGTTTACGTAAAATTAAAATGATAGGATTCTTTCATAAGGTGTTGCGGGTGCATAAAAGCAACGAGGTCGGTAACTAGATCATAAGCCCTCATAATCGGGTCATTCCGAACAAATTTTGGAATATGGTAAGATGGGACTAAAATCTACAACAATGCCTCCTTTTACTGATTTACTTATTTTGTTTGATCTTTAAGGCCTCAAAAACGGCAGAAAACGCAAGTGGACAGCCGACCGAGGACACAGAAGCCGCAGAATGAAAACTGCCTTTCCACACATGCAAGACTCCAAAGAAATGCAAGAGAAAACATGACAAACTTCCCTGAACTCGCTGCCCATTCTCAACTCAGTATAGCCAATTAAACTGATCAGTTCATAAGAGCATTAGCATCAGATGAATATTTGACATTCCTGTGTGAATTATTAACCCTTTACTGCATTCATGAAGAGGGTTACAGCACTGAGGATCCTACAGAATCTTTACAGATGGTTTCAGTAAATTTGTTACTGAATGTTAATTTTTCTTTTAAATTTATCAATATATTAGTCCTTTCTACACTTGTATTGTTGGCAGCTGAAAACTTTATTTTTGAGTGGACTGGGGCTTACAAGTGGGCATTAATGGGAGTAAACTGGCATAAGGTTTGTGAATTATACCAACAGAAACTTGCATCATATTTGTTTAAGGCGTCATATCATGTTGTGTGGGATTTGCCACATTTCTCTTTGGCAACAAAGTCATTTCAGGAGACTTAAAACTGATTATATGTGTTAACAGACTTTTACATTCATGTGGAAATCCAGAGGTTTGATTGGCTGCCTTTAAAGCTCACTTTAAGTGCTAATTTTTCATCCACTTGATTATTAAGACATTTCTTAACCACGCCATGCAGTAAAGGGTTAAATTTTAATTTTATCTCCCTCATTAATTGTTACAATCTACAAATGATTTGACTGCAGGACCTGAGAAACACAGACATGCTTACAAATTGGTTTTTACTTAGATTTTATGTATTGGAGGTTTATTCTTCTATAATAATGACCGGAGTACATTTTTCGCTAAAGCTACGATGTTTTACCTACAATAGATTTTTAAAAGCAATAACAGAATTAGCAGAAGAGCAAATATTTTTAAGTATACAGGCAACAAAGTTGTAATCAGCTTGACCTAAGGGAACAAACTGCTACATTTACTGCCATTCCCCTTGAATTTTATGAAAAGAGAGAACTCTATAATTGTATGTTCCAGTTTAACGACAGGAAAAGGAAAAAAAAAAACTTTTCTATCAGTGATTTGCTTTACTACATCATTTGTCTCGTGAAGCATGACAGCTAAAGCTGATCAGGTTTTAGGTAAACTCTTCTGGGTGTCTTCAGAGGAGTTGGACCATGCAGATCATCTCTGGTCAGAGTTTGATTTTTGAGATCTGGGATAATGTTGGGTCACATTTGTCAACAGGTAAATATGTTGGAAATCGGAAAATCCTGCTTTGTAGCTCAGTCAGTGGGCAATGGACCTTTACATCTATGAAATAAAAAAACATTTTCATACACATCTGTCTTTCATCATTTCTTCAGGGCAATGCTGTATTATGTCTAGTCTAAAGTATCAAGATCATCTGATTGTGTCCAAAAATTAGACGTTTTGTTTGTCTTTTAATGTTTGTTTTTAGCTATGAAGCAAATACTGATATTAGCAGAAACTAAACACAAACTGTTCAAGAATCCTGTTTGAGACAGTTTTGTATCATGATGTGTTATTCTTCTGGAAGCTGGTGTCAGAAGATGGACATTGTCAAAAACAATACTCAGGTAGGCTGTGGTATTTAAACAATGCTCTGCTGATACTGAGGAGCCTGAAGTGTGCCAAGAAAATATCCACCATGCCATTACACCACAGGCAGCCTGAGCTGCTGATACACAACAGAACGAAGCTGTGCTTTTGTGTTGTTTATGCAAAGTACTGACCCTGCCATCTGAATATTGCATCAGAATTCGAGAACCATCAGATCAGATGATGATGTTTCAGTCTGCTGTTTCTAATGTTTGTTGAGTCTGTGAAAATTGTAACCTCAGTTTCCAGTTCTTAGCTGACAGGAGTGGGAATAAGTGTGGTTCTGCTGCTGTAGTCCGTCTGTTTCATGGTTTGAACTGCTCTTCTGCAGACCTTGATTGTAACAAGTGTTTATTTGAGTTACTATTTCCTTCATGTCAGCTTGAAGCAGTCTGACCTCTGACATCAACAGAACATGTTCCCCCAGGCAAATGCCGCTCACTGGATATTTGTGAATACTTTTGGACCATTCTCTGTAGGGCCTGGAAGTGGTTGTGTGGAAAAATCCCAGTAGTTCAACAGTTTCTTAAATACTCAGACCAGCCTGTCTAGCACCAAGAACTATGTTTAAATTCACTTAAATCACCTTTATTTAACTCAATGATAATCTAAAGTTAATTTGGTTTGATTTAGAAACACACATATACTGGTTATTAGATTAATTTTTAAACACTTTCAAAATATACTTAGAAAACAGCTGGAATGAATGAAAAATCCAGGTGAACTTCTAAAGGGACATTGAGATAAAACAGGTTCTTCAATTCACACACACACACATATTGCATTATTAATTAATAATTAATTACTATGATTAATATTTATGACTTTAACAGCTGATTCAGTAATTTTGTGTTAATAATGTAAACTAAAAAAATCGAGTCTTAACGAAACATAAAATCAATAAAACCAACTCGACTGCAGGGTTAATTTGTGCTCAACGGAAGGACATCGCCTTTAGAAAGCAGGAAAAGTGGTTGGAAAATATCACCTGGCTCGCTCGTACGTCGATTTGAACAGTTGGACTACATTTTCCGTTGAGCTGAGGCGCTTCAGCTGTCGCCTGAACATGACGTCACGACACTTTTAAAAGCCGCTCGTTTTCTTCGTCACATCCTCTTTCCGTTGCTCTTCTCGCTTTGAGGTATGTCGAGTTCATTCCCCGCTAACAGGATCCAATTTAATCTGCTAATTTAACCGGTCATCCACTCTTACTGATCACTAATTGTTTTCATTTTCACAGAAACCTCTCCACACGATGAGAGCCAAGGTGAGATAACAAACCAATATCGGTATTTCAGCTGTTTGTGTCCTCTTCCCGCGCCAGCTAATGCTGCTAGCTCCTTCCTTAAGCTCTTCGTGTTTATATCATTAAATATACCCTGCTACCCAGCTTCTTAAAATATGAATAGAATTTCAAGTGATAACAGGGCATTAGCTACATATAGTAGTATAAATACTAATGCTACTAGAACCTTTGCTTTGGGGCATCTTGTAATGTTGGCACCGTAGCTCGCTGAGCCCAGGCAGCCATGCGTGTTTGAAAACTGAGATCTGCATGCAGCGTGACAAACACCACTGTGAAATGCTTTTTAGTACAAACATGTACTGCATGTTCTGAGGCCCTGTAACTGTCTGCATCACAGTAAGCATGCTGTCCAAATAGTGGCGCAAATGTGGTCTTGACTTACTCTTAATGACAGTGCCTTTTCTCCCTTTTTTCAGTGGAGGAAGAAGCGTATGCGCAGGTAAGCATCATGATAAATGAAGAAAATGTCTTCGTCAGCCCCCTAATCCAAGCTGCTTAAATTTAGGCTAGACAGCTGGAAAACACAATTGTTTAGGCTTTGGAAAAGTTAGGTTTATAACGAAGCAAGCCTTTGTTTTTTGTTTTATTTTAAATTTAGTGGATATAATTGAGCTTAAACTGTAAAGTATGTTAGGTTGGGCTTGTTCAAACGTTTACAATTGTTTGTCCCTATGTTTCAATTGGATGCAGGCAAAATTATATCTACTGAAAATGACCTGGGTTATATAGTTCCTGAGCAGCATACGCCAATAACTGAAATTCAGCTTTCAGCCAAGTTTGTACAGTGTCAGTGTTTAATTTAAAGATATACAGGTTTGTAACTGAGGGAACACTGTTACAAAGGTTTACAGAATAAATGAATACACGTCAATGTAATCACAAACTCGCTTGGTCTAGGTGGTGATGAAAATCATTAAAAAGAAAACACTCCTGTCCTGTCCTTAACAGCTGAAGGGAAATTTACATGATTGGTCCGATATTGATGTGCATCACAGGGCTGTCCAGTTTTGGTCATAATCTCAATAACTAGTATTACTGAATTATAGTTTAACAAAATTTTAAACAATTTTTGTTACTATCTTAGTCCTTGTGCTATTGAGCGTTTTACTGACAGCTGCTGTTGATTTCCAACAGGCTGAAGCGTAAAAGGAGAAAGATGAGGCAGAGGTCAAAGTAAGCCCCTCCTCCTGCCTGCCAGCTGTGATCACGTCTGAGCCTCTCCAGGTGACTGACACGCGGACGAAGGGGGATTGCTCGGCGGTTCCATCAACGAAATTAAAGGCCTAAACTCCCCTGATTTCAGATGACCACGCTTTTCACGGAGCCCGCTGTGACGGTCTTACTGGAAGATGGTGAAGATGCTGGAGAAGAACATGACTGCAGCTGCGTTGTTCATGGACCATAATGCATCTTGTTTCTGTACAATTGTTTGTGGTGTTTTGAACAATAAATGAACACTGTTAAATTACCACCAGTTTAAACCTCTTGATTTTTATGTTATAAAGTAAGGCTAGGTTGACTGACTTGTACTTGGAATGAATTACACCACAGGTGTCGAACTCCAGGCCTTAAGGGCCGGTGTCCTACAGGTGTTAGATGTGTCCTTGATCCAACACCGCTGATTCAAATGGCTAAATTACCGCAACATGTCTTGCAGTTGTCTAGAAGCCTGGTAATGAACTAATCATTTCATTCAGGTGTGTTGACCCAGGGTGTTATCTAAAACCTCCAGGACACTGGCCCTCGAGGCCTGGAGTTTGACACTACTGAATTACACAGTATGTAGGTTTTATTAGGGCTGTCATGTCGTTAGAAGTGATGGCTAACTGCATGCACGGAGTGTTAAATGTTAATGTGTAAGCTGGATGAAAAGAATTGGAGGCAAATATAAATGCAGGTGATTTATCAAAGTGCCTTTTAGAAAAATTGCTTTTGATCTGAAATCAAAAAGGTTAAAGTCCTTCAGTTGGAAGAGAACTTATAGTACACGTGTTTAAAAGCAGAGGTCAAGATTGACTCCTGTGTGAACTGCTAAAGGTCAGCTGTGACACACATCCTGGTGAAAGTGTCTTTAATTCAGTCAAGTTGTAAATTGCATCTTGCTGATGAAATGCTGCTATTCAAGGCAATCCCACAACAAGTCATTCATTTCCATTATTTTTCATCTCTATTTTCAACCATTCTGGTTCTTTGTTTTTAGCCCAATGACATAATGCAAAATCTGCTACATAGTTGCTCATTAGAAATAAACTTTATATGTATGAATGAAAAGATCAAGTATGGACATGTTATTAAAGTTAATAAAATTTTATACTATTAAATTTCTTGCAAAATGTATGAAATGTATTGAAAGAGACAAATATCCCCTTTCCAGGCATTAATATACACTGATAATGAGTAGATGTGGATTAGAAAGTCACTATTCAGTGTATTCAAGGCTAAGTACCTGACAATATTTGAGTAAATGTAGTAACTTGCCCTTTGTGTATGCCACTGTAAATGAAATGCCCTATTTCCTGTATAGTCTAATTTGAACTACATCGTTATCTCCTTATTCTCTTTTCAAAACCTGCTGGACTGTAAAGGTTTACTATAGGAATATCAAACATGTGGTTTGATATGAAGTAACCTGCCAAACGGTCCAGTCTGGTCCATCTGATTGCTTTGAAAACTGAAAAATTTCACAGAAGACAAGGTTAGCTTTTGGACATTAAGAACTGTGGTAATTTTAACTTGAATAGTAGCTATCAGTGAATGTGTGGATTTCTGGAATATATGCATCCCAAAGTTTTTATTTTATTTTATTTTGTTTTTTAATTTAAAGTAAATTTAAACTAAAGTATACACAGAAAGACAATATATATCTCTATTTGAGTTTTATAATTTAAATTAATTTACAGATCGTTGCCTACTGGGTAAAATACGACCAACTGTTAACCAACTGGTCTTCAGATAACTGAAGAACCTTTGTAACACAAGTAACGACATCATTGTAACTGTAATTTAGTTACAGAATTTAGTGCAGTAGCAGAGTCTTTCAGGCTGGAGTCAAAGAGTTTTCCCAAGCTCTTGACTGGTTGTTCCGTTATGGACGGGATTATAGTTCCTGAGATTGAAAACCGGAACTTGTCCGTCACCTTTCCCTTCTTCAGCACCATAGATCTTGACTTGGAAGGTTTGACACTCATCCTTGCCCCTGAGATGAGACTCTCAAGACCTCATAACATCCACCTGCACCCTGGGACAGATGGCATTGTGATCGTGAGATGCCATCAGTCCTGACCTAGTTAGCGGCCCTCTACACTCCACCTCAGCGGCCTTGACCACCATGTACATTGCGAGAGCAAAGAGCATAACTGAGATGGTACAGCCTGTTATTATACCTTTCCTGAGGCGATGCCAGTCTGAAGTCACTGACTCAGAAGTGACCCTCAGTCTGAAATTGCCATAATAATCCAAGATCAGGTGCTTGATCTTGCTGGGAACATGGTGGAGGTGTAGAGCACGCCCAACCAGCTTGTGTGGGATAGACCCACGGGCATTGGTCAGGTCAAGCCACAAAACAGCCAGGTCGCCCTTGTTCTTGTGGGCTCCTCTTATAAGGTGTGTAACTACGTCAGTGTGCTCTAGGCAACCAGGAACTACTGGGAGCCCCCCCGTTCTGAACTGACAGATCAATGTAGCTACTTCTAAGAAGAAACTTGGTCAGTCTCCGGGAGACGATGCTAAACAAAACCTTCCCCTCTGCGCTCAATAGCGAGATGCTCCGAAGTTGATTGATGTTTTTCGAGTCCTCCTCTTTGGGAATCCAGACTCCCTCTGTGCACCTCCACTGGTCATCAACTCTTGCTCTCTGCCATATCACCTTTAAGATCTTCCACAGATGTCGGAGCAGCTCTGGGCAGTGCTTATGGGACCTGGGGAGGATGCTGAGCAGGCTGACTTGATGACCTCACACACCTCCTTCAAACTTGGCTCTGTCAACTTAAACTCTGCTGATGGGGGGTTGACGAGAGCTTCATTAGGTCCCAAATCTTGTTCCCTCTGTGGGTCACTCATGATGTCTTGAAGGAAGTGACTCACCTCCTCTATTGAGCATTTCAGCTGGCTGCTGTGCTTGTCCCGAGCAGTTGTTTTAGCAATAAAAGCTGCTCGTTTCCTGGCTCTCTTCCCCGTCTCCTGTGCCACTCTGCTCTGCGGAGGATTATCAGCTTCTTCCTCAAGATGTCATGCAGTCTGTCCTGACTCTCAACACTCTTAGTTCTCAGACTGGAAATCAAACGTGTGATTAAAACACAAGTTTAACTTATAAATACATGTTCATACTTTTATTTAACAATCAGAGAGAAAGAAAAAGAGAAGGCAAAGGTGCAGGACAGACAGAAAGGTGACAGGCTCAGGCTTTATACACTAGTACAAAAATAGCACAAGGACTATTTCCTGTTTTTATTAGTATTTGTTTTATTAGGGGTACTAAATAAGATGAGAGCTAAATTTAAGTATAAAGTGGTTAAGTTTGTACACTGGCCAAATGTCTGGGTCCTGTGAATAAACTACTATCCTTTAACTTAGCAAGTGAAGTGTCTGCTTGTTTCTTCTTAAAATAAATATGGCTCAACACCACCAACAAAACCAGCTAGGGCAGCAAAACAAACGAACTAACATTAACATTAGTGTAATCGATTGTGCTGTTTGTGCGGGGCTGTAAAAGTGATTTTAAGCTCAGTGTCAAGGTCCTCCTGTCCTCCACAGCTGTCTGCTAAGGTTTTTGCAGCATTCACATCCTTTTTGCATGTTTCAGCTTGTTCTGTTTGTGGATATTCTGGCATTAGTTATCCATAAAATCGTAATGTCATTTTAAAAGGTTTTTTAAAGTCGATCTTTGAACGGCGTGCATCATAAAGTAAAAGCTTTAAAAGCAAGTGGAACCTGCATTAAGTACTAACTAACATCACTAATGTCACATAGCTTTGCTGACATGCAGCCAAATTTAACTTTTTCATGATCTTTGTCATTGGAACATTTGTATCGCTGCACAAATAAGTGAGATAAAACCCAGTACTTACTTTTAGAATTTTACTTTTTGGCTGTCGCGTTTGAGCTATTTTTAAAAAATTGTATTTATTTATTATTTCAAATTTCCTTTTTAAATTTGTTTCCTTTTTCCTCTATTTTTTTCCCCCGACGTGTTTTTTTATGCTTTTGCTGCGTTTATTCTGCTTTCGTTTGGCCCCTCGGGGCCACCGTAGTAAAATGGCATTTCAACAGTGTGCATTATGTAGCGATGTCGTCGGGGGGCGCTATATTTCCCGCGGGTACTGCACATTGACACGCCGTAGAAGAAGACTTAGTATTGTAAACACAAGGATATGGCTGACGAGAGGGGTGGAGGGGAAGACAACGCCAACGACAACATGGGGAACCAGTTACAGCTCTTACCAGGTACCCGTTAAGCTGACCGAAAGCCCGCTCGGTGTTTTCACCGGGACAATACGTTTCTCTTCCTTCTGCTAAATTCTAGCTAACACACCACCACAGCAGGCCACTGTTAGTGATCACACTCACTGTCTCAACCCTCTGCTTTCGCTTTCTTTTCAATTATGCCATCAGTGCGATTTATTAAGGTGAAGCTTTTACGTCTAAGGCTTGTCAACGAGCTACCTAACTTAGCCTCTCTGTGTACACTTGTGCGCTGTGACAGACAATGAGGAGGAGGAAGAGGAGGATGACATGGAGACCGAAGATCGAGACAGTGAGGAGGCAGAAAAGCCCAACATCATCACCTTTGACCCTAGTCTTCCCACATCACATTCAGTGAGTCATGCATCACAATCCCTCTTATTCTAACATCTCTTTTTCCATGATTTGCTTTCATGCATGTGATCCTTCTCAGAGTTTTAGTTTCTCTGCAGCTGCTGTGTTAATCTAACCCCCTTTTTGTGTGCCAGTACCTGGGTTCAGACATGGAGGAGTTTCATGGCCGTACGGTCCACGATGACGACAGCTGTCAGACCATTCCTGTGCTGCCACACACAGCTGTGATGCTGGTGCCGGGCCAGACGCTGCCTCTGCAGCTCTTCAGGCCGCAGGAGGTCAGCATGATGAGGAACGTCATCCAGAGAGACCGCACTTTTGCTGTGCTCGCACACAGGTGTGCTGTTAAATGATGCTGTTAAAATCTCTGTGTATGCTGGCAATCATGGAAAGATGCACAGCTCTTACAAATTGAAAGCATTTTTTTGTTTTCATTTGAAGAAAATACAGTTGTGGTCAGAAGGTTGCAAACACTCATCCTAGGCATGAATGTCACTGCAATTTTGGGCTTTTAATGATTTCTTTGAACTGTTTTTTTTCCCCCAGGCTTGAATGATTGTAAAACATATATCAGAAGTTTGAATTTATTTTGGATTTTCTCTAATCCATGGAGGGTTAAAGTTATACACTCTGGCTTACGCACACTCACTTAAGTCTCCAAATATGTGAAGGTTATGCAGTGTCTTTTAACCTGACAAGTCTTAGGTCTATTAATATCTCATTTCTGATCACGGTTGACCACAACGGGTAGTGTCTCTTTCCCAGGATTGACCAATACTTAGAACAATGGGAAAGTCCAAGGACCTCACTATAAAACCAAAATGAATGTTTATGTTTTGTTTATTTGTTATGGTGGCACAGGTGTTTAGATTTTCCTGCACCTCAGGTGATTGCATGAGGGTGTGGTCGCATGTTATTTACCTGACACTGGCGTCAGGTGAGGCTGCAAACCTAGTAACACAGTACTAGCTGCATAAATATGGTCGTGATAGCATCATGGTCCGGGTTTGTTTTGTTGCCTGTGGCTCTGGTACATGGCACAAAGTACATGAAATAATGAAAGTGTACCACCTTTAAATTCTTCAACTTTAACTCACTCACAGCTAGATGGTTGAAACTTGTATAGAATTGCATCTTTCAGCAGGGCAATGATCCCAAACACACATAAAAACTTGTTTTGGAATGGCTAAAGCAGGTAAAAGCTTCTGGAATGGTCTTTCTAAAGACCTCAAATCAATTGAAAACTTGTAGACAACACTTAAAAGCCAGGTCCATACCAGGAAATCAATGAATTGAAACACACTCTTAACAATTCTGCCAAGAAGAGTGGCAGATCCTCTGTGGATTATAGAAAATCCCAGATAAATTCAGGCTTGTGTACCCCAATTCTTGTTTTAATGTTTGTTTGTTTTGTTGTTGTTGTTTTTAAGCCAAAATTACTATGGCATTCATGTCCATGTTGAGTGTGTGTAACCTTGTGACCACAGCTGCAAATTTCCATGACTCTTCTTTATGTAAACTGTTTCTTGTGGGTCACTGAGGTGGATAATTCTCAGTATTTCATTTCAATTTCTGCATCTGATGTGTGTCTGCAGCGATACAGGTGAGCCGGATGCAGAGTTTGGAACTACGGCTGAAATCTATGCATACAGAGAGGAGCAGGAGTACGGCATTGAAACAGTCAAAGTGAAGGCTATAGGGAGGCAGCGATTTAAGGTCCACGAGATAAGAACTCAAGCAGATGGGTAAGTTGAAGTTCCCTCATAAAGCATTAAACCAAAGGTCGGGGCTGAATTCTTACTGCCAATCCCTGGTTCAAAGATGTGCGACAAATCAACAAAGCCACATATAACCCTTAAAAAATGCCAATTGAAATAAAATATATGCAAATACAATATCTCTGAGCAGGTCAGTAGTGGATGTAATATAATGGTTTGTCTAGTTCGGTGTACTGGGCTCTGCTCCAACTTCTGACTTCCTGGAACAAAGGAAAAAAAATGCAGCCAGCTGTGGAACAGAAAATGGGTGCAAAACATTTTTCTTGTTTAATTCAGAGTTTCTGCAGTAAAAAAGGAAACTTTGTTTCTTGCATTTAGTGAGACAGCTGTTTTCTACAGGAGTTGCATACCTGCAGGTTTTCAGCCGGACAACAAGTCAGAAACACATTTAGATGAGAAGGAAAACTATGTCAATAATGGCACAGAGACACACCGTCAACAGTCACACAGTATTTGACCACTAGGGGGCAATCTAACACTTCATAAAATCATCATAACTAAAAACACAGGTTTTTATTGCGTCACAAACTGCTTCAAAACAAGTAGCATGGAGGCTGTCTCTAATAGATTTATTTAAAAGAAATGTCGTTTTTTAAAACATTTGCTTGTGGAAACCAGAGACTACAGCAATTCAGCATTGCGCGGATGTGCATGTGGATGTGTAGAGGTGATGTCAGCTCTATACCTATCTATATTACCAAGAGGTGGTAAACAGACACTACACAATATGAGATTATTATGATTTTGAACATTTTGCAAAATGCTGTGTATTTTAATAACATACTGTATATTGCAATTTATCATCAACTGCAAAGTATCTCTTTTATCCAATAAGATAATGTTATGTCATTTTAGTTCTTTTTTTTCTTTTTGCTGCAAAATGAGATTGTCGAGCATATCAACACTTATCACTAAGAGTCTGTAATCGGTCTACCTTTGAATGGGGCAAGTTGGCAATTACACGCAGTCTGTTTCTAATAATTCAATGGTAAATCATTGAAATTTGCATATGTGTTGCTGTCTACATAAACTGAAATTCACATTTAACTATTACATTTATGCTCAGCAGTCTTCCTCTTCTATTGGAACATAACCAGAATACAACCAGCTGACAGCAAGTTGTGTCGAGTCCCCTCGAGTTGTGCTCATTGACAAAGACTCATTCAGACTGATGGCAAACTGTCTGCATTTATAAATTAGACAGCATGTCTGTGCAAACCTTTAACAATGTCTCTGTGAGTGACTGCAGTCAGTTCAAATCAGAATGTGACTGTTTGCAGAAAGATTGTCTCCTCTTGGGTGATCTGTGCATTCGCCTTATGACTGCACAAGTGGTCATGCAACCATCTCGCCACCATAAGTCCTATTTTTACTTGTGTCACTGAGTCATTAGCCTGCTTTTAATTTGAAGTAGCTTGGTCAAGCTAAGCGTGTCCAGTGTTGGATGGTTTTTCGGTCGAGATGATTTAATGTAAGTTTGCTTGGCTAACATTATCACAGGATGCATGAGATGCCCTCTCATGCATAGTACTCCCAGAGTATTTTAATGTATTTAATAAAATATCAATATTTAGTGTCTCCAGATCCATACAATATCACCACACAAAATTACAATCACAATACTATGCTTTAGCAATATTTTTTTTGCCACCTCTAGAATCATCCTCACATGTTGAAATTTGTGAAACAGCCACAAAGGCAGTAAGAGGGCTGTTGCAACAACAGATTTATGTTTCTGACTTATTCCAGAGTTCAGTGCAGCTGCGTTAACTTCTTCAAGTTAGTTTGCATCTGTGTAAATGCAAAGCATATTGTCTTTTTGGACTGAAAACAAAGGAAGCATTGATAAAGATGTATCTATTGAAGTCATGTAATAGATCATATTAACCCACATCCTCCCTGGAAATCATCGGCACATACTGTCCATAAAAATGAGGCTTTATTAAGGCATTTTCCTTTTCTCTAATTGAGGTTATATAATACACATACAGTGGTTGCCATGATTGTGTTGACCTTCTGTTGTGACTCTTCGAAAATACAGCATTTAATCAATCACTCAATTACATGCAGTCTGCTCTTTCTCTTGTTTAAAATTAAAATATACTTTGTACTTTTTCTGTCTATTCTTTCTATTTCAGTAAACATCCTCCCTGTAATGTTTCTAAGATTTCCTGCAGAGGGAAATATTTGTAGGGTGTGTCAGGGATAAGAATCTGCCTTTCACGGGTGGAGGTGGAGGGTTATCAGTCACATCCAGTAGAGACAGTGAGTCTGTGTTACCTTATTTGACAGAGGTCTGTGCATTTTCCCAATATTTCATATAGTTTGATAAACAAAATGTGTATCATGCTACAGAAATTACACCCCAGTTAACAAACCCTTAAAATCAGTTGCAGATGGCACCTTTTTGTGATCACCTCAATGATCCAAACATCCTGTAATGTAGCGTTTGGCCAGTGCACCAATGTTTAATCTACTATTTGCCTGCTCAGTTTCACTCATATTCTGCTGTCATCATTCACATTTCCCTTCTTTTGTGTCACAGGTCTTTGTTATTGTCTGCTTTTGTTCCTCTTCTCAGGATCAAACAGGCTAAAGTGCAGATCCTTCCAGAACGAATCCTTCCAGACCCCCTCTCCGCTGTGCAGCTAACGCCTCTGTCCAGGCTCCACATGCACCCTTCTTCCAAACCTCCAAGTCAGAGCTGCAAACAGGCTCAGTGCTGGTGGAATAACTACAAACAGGTACAGAGAATCACGCACAAATGTGAAATCTGTGTGCGCTTTCTAAAAGTAACAGTTTCTGCTTTTGGAGATGTTCGAATCAGATGACAGTGACAAGAAAGTTAAGATGAATTTCCTCATCTAAGATGCAAAATGTATTTTTTCCACTTTGAGAAACTGTTCAGTAAAACATCAGATCAGTCGGTGCCTGTTCAAATAATCAAAGTCTAGTTTTGTCTAAAAGTGAAGACCTGAAATACATTCAAAGAATTACTAGAAATATATGGTGAAGTTTCCATTTGAATCATGAGCAAAATGAGCATTTTCACCCTGAGACTGAATCCCACCCTAATCCTATACTGTTAGATCCAAAGGTTTTTGGACAGTGACATAAAAAAAGATTATGCCTCTCTACACCACCACAGTAGATTTTAAATCAAATCACAATTTTTCCTAAAATGTTGCATTAAATACCTAAAAGTAATTGGACAAACTAACATAATGTTAGTCTTTGATAACTGCAAAGCATGCTCTGTTGGGTTGAGATCAGGTGACTAACTTGGCCACCGAAGAATATCTAAAATATTTTGCCTTGAGAAAATCTCAGCTCGCTTTTGCAGTTTGCTTAATCCATTTGCAGTGTGAAGTGCAGGATTTGGTTGAATCTGAGCAGACAGAATAGCCCTGTACACTTTTATCATTCATCCTCCTGCTTCTATCAGCAGTCACATCATCAATAAACACTAGTGGTCCAGTTCCACTGGCAAACAATACATGCCTGTATCATGACACTTCCTGCACTATGTTTTACAGATGTATTTTGATTTGGCTCAAGGGCTGTTTTTTCCTTCGCCATACTTTTCTCTTCCTAGCTCGTACAAGTTCTTCTTGGGTTCATCTGTCCAAAGAACTTATTTTAGACCTATGCGGGCTCTTTTAGATGTTTTCTGGGAAAGTCTAATCTGTCCTCTTATGGCTGAAGGGGTATTGTCATCATCACAGTTAGCGGGATGATTGTGAGTTTGTGAATGTGATAACTCGAGAATGAGGCAATGTATGAATTTAATAGAGTGGGTGCAGCTAATAAAAATCTCAACGACCTTGAGTTTGAGCCCAAGGTCAAGTTTTCTGAAAATCTTTTAAACGCAATAACACAAGAAGAAGTTCATGTAGGATTTTGAAATTGATCCCACAGGTGTCTCTGCTACTAGGGTGAGTCATACCACTGGCGATTATCAGTGTTTTTGTTCTTTAGTGTAACCAGTAGTTTGCACCTCCTTTCCCAATCATGAAGTCATCTCTTAATTGTAGACTTTGACAATGATACAACTGTATATCACTGAGTGTTCTTGACTTGGTCAGATGTTGCTATTAAATTAATTTGGTTATGATCATTTGGTAGGGTTCTTCTGTGGTCTTTCAGGCCTTTGATTGTTGATTTGGACCTAAAATTTGTGCTGTCGTAGGTTTGTTTACTTTTTTCAGTCTAATGATGGCCTCCCTCACTTCCAATGACATCTCGCTAACGAGGGAAGAGACCTCATCTGCTTATTATACTGATTAACATTCAATTGTCCAATTACCTCTGAGCCCCTGAATATTGTTATTAAAAACAATTAAAAAAAAACAAGATAAAAACGTCTCTAATTCCTAAACTGTTAATGCAGTTAATAAAACTACTTGAATTATAGCTGAAATCCTGCCAATTCAAACACATTTTGATTGACTGATTCAGATCTGTTGTGGTGAAGTACTGAGGCAAAATTGCAAAAAATGTGTCATTGTCCAAAAATTCTGGGATTTTTACCTCCATAAACTGTAAATGGTAAAAAAAAAAAAAAAAGATAAGCGGCTTTTTTTTCTGTCTTGTAATATTAAATATTGCCTACATTTAACTGAGTGCTGAATTATAGCTTGATATTTTTCTGGTTTAGCATGTTTGGAGTTGGACATGCTAATCTTTATTGTTTGACATTTCGAAATACAACCTGTACGTATAACCTATGGTGTGATTAGTTAGTACATAGTTCATTTTAATCCAGTTCACTCACATGAATTGACTAGTTGTTGCAGCTGATGTGTTTCATAATGTAAAGATGTGAAATAAATCAATACAGTTAAAACCAGTAGAGAAAGTGACTTAGTGCAGATATGTTGGCAGGTGTTAGATTGTTTTAGTAGGAGAAAATGTTAATGTCTACTGTTACAGGAGAATAAGTAGATGACATGTTAAGGTATCTGTGCAGGTGATATTAACACTGGATGTGAAAGTAGCCCATGTGCAAAACTGTGACCTGGAACATGCTACTTTTACTTCTCTATATGACAAAGGGACGGATCTTGTGTTGCTTCCACAATCATCAGATTAGATTTGATTTAAGTGATACATGTGTTATTGACCACAGAGAAAGTTTCACTGTGCCAGTCTGACGCCATGGCCACCCTGGGTCTACGCACTCTATGATTCAGTAAGTACTGCAGCCCGCGGCACTTCCTCCTCTATATATAAACATGACACACAAATGAATATAAACCAAGATTTCTCGGCTTCTGGTGGTTCACCTCACAGGAGTCGCTCATGAACAGGGTGAAGAAACAGCTTCACGAATGGGATGAGAATCTGAAGGATGATTCCCTCCCGGCGAATGCAGTAGGTCAGACTATGTTGATTTTATTCCAGAAGGTACAGGTACAGATGAAGACAAAATTATTACCTCCCTTATTATTAAAGTGATGAAGTCAAGGGGGATTTCTACATAGCTTTTCTAAGCACACTAGTCTTTTTTTGCAGAATGTCACTTGAGAAAGTGTTGTGCCAAAAATAAAATAAATCAGTTTAGATTTAAAAAAAGGAATTGTTGATGGTCACAAGGCAGGAGATGGATATACAAGGTTTTCTGAGAGTCACGAACTGGAGTGAGACGTATCAATAATAAATTCAAAGAGAGCTACCAGTACAGAACAAGAAAGGCAGAGGCAGGAAGCCAAAAAGGCTTCCAAAGGCTCTGGAATGAAAACTAGTGAGAAATGTGTTTAAAGACCCCAGAACAAAATGCAGAGACACTAGTAAATGATTTAGCAAAGTCAGAAATTGTAGGCTCAAAGGACACTCACTGGAACGCCACACAGGAATGGACTACAAGGTTCCTGAAGGGGAAAAACTCCACTTCTGTAGAAAAAGACGCTTTTAAACCAGACTGAAGTATGTTAAAGACAACCTGGAAAAAGATTACGCAGAACTATTTGGCCACAGAAACATTGCTTATATTTGGAGGAAGAAGAGCGGTGGACAGCCCAGAGAGCACCACAATGAAACATGGTGGTCGGAGTATCATGTAGGGATTCTTCGGTGCATCTGGAGCTAGGAATCTCATTAAGGTGGAAGGAATAATGAAGAAAGACATGGAGATTTTAAAAGAAAGCAGTCAGCAGCATAACTGGTTCTGGGTCATTGCTTTGTCTTCCAGCACGGTGACTCAAAACATACATGGCTCCTGGTGAAGAATTGCTATCAGAAGACCAAAGTGAACATTACTGGATGGTCTGCACAAAGCCCTGGCTTGAATCCGAATGAAAATTTATGGTGTGTACTGAAGACCAGAAGGAGGAGGGGGTGGTGGAGATTGACCAAAGAAGAATGGGCTGGGGTTGCTCAGAAGACATGTGTGAGAACCACAACAAATATCTGCAAGGTGTTACTCAGAAACAAGGATACGCACTAGATTATTAGCATCAGGGGGGCTAATAATTTTCACCTGATTGTTTCTGTTTCTTGTGAAATTGTTTTGCTTCTGTGTGCAAAGTAAAATATGGTACGCAATCCCCATTGGGAACTACTTTTTTAGGGGGGCTAATAATTCTGTCCTCATCTGTATGTAAACATGCACACTCGCAATTTGTTTGTGTTCGTTGTACTTTCTGACCTCTTTATTTCATCGCTCTCTTGTCCTTCTGTCTACGCTCTGTCAGATTTCTCCTACAGAGTAGCAGCCTGTCTGCCCATAGATGATGCTCTGCGGCTCCAGCTATTAAAGATTGGCAGCGCCATCCAGAGACTTCGCTGTGAGCTAGACATTATGGATCGGGTAAGTAAAAGTCACCAACAGCCTCGCTGACCTGCCCCAAACCTCAGACATAATTCGTCTTATGCAGTGATAAGATTCCTACTTGTGCTTTACTGAGCACACAGTGTCCCTCTGGTGTGTCTTATTATATTTAACCATGTCTGACGGGGGCTGACAGATGTGTTAGTGCTGCAATATTTCAGTTTTCAGAGTCAAAAGCAGTCATTGCAGCATTTAAGGTTAATGGACCGGTATTTAGCATGCAGTGAACATCAGCTGTTTGTTGATCTGATTTTAGGGAGAGGTTGGACACAGCAAGAGAATATCCATATTTCAATTAAAGAAAAAAACCTCAAAACAAAGCACTCTGGCCACTGTAGATCTGCTTTTACTCAGTCATGTGGGCCAAAGCAGTCACAGGTTGTTTTTAGCCATGTTAGCAGTATGGCTTTGTAGTAAGGACACTTATGCAGGTCAGTGATTTCATCACTTTGCTGCGATTGAAATTGCTTCATAACTGTTACATTTGGCAAAAACATTTAATTCCCACTCCAGATGACTTGAAATCATCTCTGGTCTGGTAGCTGTTCTTCTAATCCCTTTAGTCAGGTCCAATATTTACAGAGACTATTCTTTAGGCCCTCTTGAGTCATTGCCGTACTTGAGCACAGGAAGACATGTTCCACACATGCTCGGTGGAGAACACTAATAGCTACTTTGTTTGTATTCATCTGAAGAGGATGACAAAAAGCTATGTGTGAGTGCTTAATGAGAGTAAAATCAAAGAAGGGAAGGAGAGGAGTTGCATTAAAGCTCCTATATTGTGTAGCGTATTGGTTAATATGGAGACGGGTTACACCCTCACGGGGCTTTCATCAGCATCAAACACACATTGTTTACTCCTTCTTCTCTTAGATACTCCCATTAGGACTCCACACTGTTGATCATCCATTTTCATCTCTCCCAGTCTTTTTTGTCTTTCTCTGTCACATGTCCAGCACCTGACTGTCTGCTCTCACAACATCCCCAAACCTCTTGTGCCTTCTTTTTCCCCCCCTCTTTCCCAGAAGCTCAAACTTTAATAACCTTCTCTTAAAGATAACCATCATTTCTCCTTCCTCTCTCATTTTGTCCGTGAGCCTTCCCTCTAATATGCTCATTCCTAATCCTGTCCATCATTTTCATTCCCAGTGTAAATCTCCTTCACATGAGAAACTACCTACAGTTCTGCTTCCTGACCTTTTATCTCGAACCTGCAATTGAGTCCATAAGTTTCTGTGACATTTCTTGTCATTTTGCCTCTGTACACCAACATAGTGGATTTTATATACTCAAGATTGAAGTGATTGAACTGCAGCGTTTTAGTTTTCATTCAAAGGTTTTTTACAGAAAGCTTTGTATTACCTGTTTAGGAATTTTGGCAATTTATGTGCATAGTCCCTCATTTTCAGAGGTACAAAATGAACGGGACGATTGACTGACAAGGCTAGGTGAAGCCTTTCCCCCGTTATTTATTAAGAAATAAAGTATATGTAATATATGTAAGTTAAGATCATCTAACTAAGTCAGGTTCTGTCAGGTTCTCCAATCAACAGTCTTCTTCATGAGTCTTAGACTTTAGGCTCCTTATTAAAATTATGTATTTTTTTTTTCAGTTGCTTTTGAGTCTCTGAAAATGGGAGACTGTATAAAAATGGCTGAAATCCCAACACAGTTAATGCAGGACTTGAAGCCTCTGGAATTAAAGCTCAAAGTCTACAATCTTGATTCTTTAATTTGAAACTCACTGTGGTGGTGTAAAGATGCTTAATTACAACAAATTATGGACCTAACTGTATATGACACACCCGATCTCACCTTTCCTTTTACTTCCATCACAAATCATTCCTGATATGCTCTTCACCTTTCTTCCATGACCGGCGGCTCTCTGAATGGACAACACATCTGATATCATAGTGGCTCACACTATGATATCGGGGTCTTAATCTAATAACAAATTAAAAAAAAAATAGAATGCAATCAAGGTACTTAAAAATATTAAATATAAATCACAACAACAGTCGCCTCAAGGCTCATTATATTGTAAGTGTGGGATTATGATATTATTTTATGCCATGTTAGACCCCTAATTAAAGATTGTGAATTATTATGTAGTTTCAGTTTGCATTATGCTCCTGAACTAGAAGAAGGTGATAATTATTACATTTGGTAAACTGATTTGCATTACATTAGACTGTTGATTTATTGTGAATGAATGATATTGTTTTATGATGCATTATACTGCTGAGTTATAAGAAATACTGTTCACAGAAAGTCATCGTCTCATTTGTCTGATTAGAAGAGAACAGAGCATACTGCCCCATTTCATCAGGAGCAGATAAACAGGGAGCCAAGGTCGTAGCTTAGGCGCTGTGTGAGAAAGAATGTTTAGGCTCTGATGATTAGGAGGGGGCCACTAGAGGCTATAAGAGTTTGATCAAGGCTCCACCATTTTGAGATCTGATGCTGTCTGCTGTATGTGTCCATCTCCCACGCGTGTGTTCATTAAATCATCGTTTGACTTGACCCGGCCGGACCAGTGTTGTTATTTTGGTTTTCCTCTTGTATCCATTCCCAATATTTGAATCCGTAACATAAGGTAGACCCTACAATGATAAATTCAGAGAAAAACCCCAAAATCATATGGCCCCCTATGAGCAAGCGCTTTGGCTACAGTGGGAAGGAAAAACTCCCATTTAACATGGAGAAACCTCCAGCAGAACTAGGCTGGCCTGGAGGGGTGGCCATCTGCCGCGACCGTTTGGGGTAAGAGGATATGTTAAGCAGTTTGATGGCAGCGCCATGTCTCTGAAAGCTGGGATGAAAACAAAAAAAGTCTGGGAAAGGAAGTAAGGTACTAAAAAGAAATCATTTTGCAACTAATGAATTAAATTGACAAGAGGCCACATGAGTGGGTATAACTTTTTTTTTTTTTTTTTTAAATAAAAAGCACCTTAGAGAGGTAGAGTTCCTCAGAAGTAAAGATGGGCTGGCCTTCACCAATCTGCAACAAATTGTTCCTCAGTGTAAACATACAGTACGTAACATCAAATGACTCAGAGAAGAATAGGCCAACATTCCTCTCGTCAGTTCTTAGTCATTTACAGACTTATTTACCAACATGTTTTCTATGTTGTGAATGAAAAATGGTTTTTAAAAGGTGTGACTCTAGTCAGTTAGCCAAATCCAAATAATAAGGAGTAAAATTAGAAAAACAAACAAACATCTAATTGGTTAGCAAGCTCAGATGACTGATTCAGGAGGAGGATGGTAAGTTAATGTTAATGCCTAATGTTTTTCCAGGCATGTTTATATAAACAGTGATCAGTGTGTCGCACTTGTGTTGAATCAGAAGCTGAAGCTTGATTTGTGAAGTGCTCGTTAAATGTGTTTGCCGATTATCTGTTGTCCCTTCTTTCTGATTGAGGATAATAATCCCTCTCACCAACGACACTGACGTGACCTGAGCTCGGGCCATGTTTTGAGTCGCATTTGTGGAAGCGTGACGAATGGCATGATTAATATAACGTCCTCAATGAGCCTCAACAGTGGACGCTTTGCTTTTTAAATATGTGACATGTATACATATTGTTAAAACCCTCTTTTCTCTGCTCCTCAGTGCACATCGCTGTGCTGTAAACAGTGCCAGGACACGGAAATCACCACAAAAAATGAGATCTTCAGGTGAGCGAGCGCTTGTTTTTGATTTTTGTTAAAATAGAAGTTGGTAATGATCAGCACATAGTGGTTCTGTCTCAGCACTAGTAACATCCTTCTCACATCACTGGAAATTTGGATTCAGTAATAGAATAAAAGATGATGTAACCAACTTCACAGATTTCACAGATTTCCATGTTCAAGTCGGCAGTTTTTCCTGCTTTTAACAATAATGAAGTGTAGTAGGCGCTTCGTTTTTTTAAAATTTTATTTTATTGAAAAACACATGAAATTAAATTACGTTTTTTGAGTTGTTTTGGGAGCTGCTGGCATAATTGGGGGTGGAGGTATATGACAGTTTTATTATGTCTTATTATTCCAAGTTCTTCTTGTTTTTTTTCTTCATTGTAATCACTGAAATTATTAGCACATCAAAGTCAAGACCAATTGTTCTGTCTGTCTGAGAGTTACGTAAACTCTGGGGTTACATCAGGAAAGTAAGTGGTGCTTCTCTACACCTCCTCACTCACACAGTCTAAGTGCACTCTCTTATACGCACACTGTTATATAATGTCATTTTCTGACGGTTTGCTGTGTAATGGTTAATCTGTTTGTCCAACAGTGACACAAAAAACCTTGAACAGTCATGAAATTGCCCAGAACATTCTTAGGGGTTTATGAGAAAAGTGCACTCTCTGTTTTGTCATCCATATAATTTGAGTCAGTGAGTGATTATGTGTGAGAGAGGCAAGCAGACTAATAGTTGAAGCACTGCCTCTGATGAATTTACATACTGTTGGTGCTAATGCATCTTCTTTCAATGCCAGAGCAGAAGTACATTAAATGTAACCATATTACCGCTTTAAAGACTGACTCAACATGAAGTTTTTGGGTCTGATTGTACTTAGCGTGTTTGTGTGTGTGGGACATCAAAATGTCTTTTGATGCGTCATTTCTGATTGTGTTTGGCTTTTGATACTTTAAACCTGAAAATGCAGTCTCTTTGGATTAGATTTACATCATTCATGGTGTGGGTTTAGCGCTGTAAAGGAGCTGCTCTACCGCCTGGCTGTAGCTCAGGAGGTAGAGCAGGTCACCTACTAATCGGAAGGTTGGTGGTTTGATCCCTGGCTACTCCAGTCTGCAGGTTGCTCTCCGATGCATCCATCGGAGTATGAATGTGCGTGACTGTAGTTAGGAAGCACTCAGTATAGAGAAGGTGCTTGTGAGAATGGGTGTGATTGGGTGAATGTGGCATGTTGTATAGAGTGCTTTGAGTACTCCGGGAGAGTAGAAAAGCGCTATACAAGAATCAGTCAATTTACAATTTTACCACTTACAGTACTGTGCAAAAGTCTTGAGTCATCTTCATTTCTTTATATTTTGCTTCCAAGCAGCCAGACTTTCTTGTAACTTTTTCAAGTTGTTTTAAGCAATAGTTCTTCAGGCTTTTCTGAAGGTCTTTGGAAGTTTTCCGTTCGACATTTTCACTCTTTTTCAGTGTAAACCTTGTAACTGACCATTTTGAGAGGAATGTTTTTATTTATTAAGCCACGTAACACTGACCTATGGATCATTCAAGCATAAAAAAGGCACCTAGCTCAAGTGATGAACCAGTATTGTGTCGAGACGTAATACAAACAACCAATTTACCAAGTACTTTGTTACTGGCAGCCTACTACAAAACACATAATTTAATCACATTTGTTTTTGTTGACTCTATAATAAATGCCACAGATAATACAGTTTACAGCATAAAATAGTATTTTTTGCACCAACAAGGTGATTCGCAAAGAGATATTAGGAAAACTTGCCATGTCTCAGCATTGTCTATAGTCTGTCCTTAAAGAAATGTAGGGAAACTGGACAGGACAAAAGAAGAAATGACAGGCTGAAGTAACATCAGCAGATGAACAATATCGGAAAGTCTGAAAGACGAATCCAAATTTGAAAAATGCACAATGGAACGATATCAGCCTTGGCTTAGCCTCTCAAGGTTATTGAAACAGTGTGGGATAATCTTGACAAAACAAACAAAAGACAAAGTATAAAGGTGATCATAGTAAATATTGACTTTCAAGCTCATTTTACAAACTCTTATTTTACCTTAGATACTGTATTTCATTGTATCATTGCACATGTTTTAATAAATCACTGCACTTTCTTTCCATTTTTCTCTAGGGATGAGTTGAAACTTTTGCGCAGTCCTTTTGAGTTTCCAAATTTCACTCTTAGCTCCATGAAAAGGAGCAAATGTTCTCCTCCAGCTAAAGATAGATGACAAATAAAGGAAAAAAAACCCATCATTAGAAGCCTTAACCTCAGCCTAACAGAACAGCTTCACTGGTGCTGGAGATGAACACCACTCCACTAAAAGACATTTCCTCATTTTTCTCTCTCCATGTTTTAATGATGCCACTGTGTAATCAGACCAAATGGGTTGTTATCTGGTGGTGCTAAGGTCTTAGCATAAGATGCATGTTATTTTCATATTCTTCTGTCGCTCTGAAAGAGATCATGACCATCAGGAGAGAGGTGATTTCTCCCACTAAGGCAGGAAGTGGATACCAACCATGCCAGTAAAATGCCTTCACGGTATATCAGAGCCAAAGTCCTTCCATCTAGTGGTCAAGCAATCAGTTTTTAAAATTGTGTGAGTCATGTGTATGCCTGCACTTTTATGTTGCATTTTTAGCTTAGCTGAAAATAGCACAGATGAGATTCAAAGTTCTTAAGAAGCTCCACTGAAAACATTACCCAAAAGAGTTAAAATGCTCTAAGAAGGAAACCATGAAGACAGAAAATTTGTCTTCATTGTTAATATAAAAATGATGAGCACAGCTGAACTTTTTGGCATTTTCAATTTTAGACCTCTTAAAGCCCGTTTCCCCTTTTCATTTTCAGTGTCTCACTTTCATGATGTTTTGTTTTCGCTCAACAGTTTACTGAATTCACACATTTTCCACCTTCCTCTCTCTGCAGCCTGTCCTTGTACGGCCCCATGGCTGCGTACGTCAACCCTCACGGTTATGTCCACGAAACGCTGACTGTCTACAAAGCCAACAACCTTAACCTGGTTGGAAGGCCATCTACGCTGCACAGCTGGTTTCCAGGGTAAATATTTTTAGCATACAGCATGAGTGTGCTTTCCATAAATGGATGTTTTAAGTAAGAGACACATCTCTTGATACCTCACAGCCCAGGGCTTAGAATTTAATGGCATCTGGTGTAGCTGCAAGTTGCTGTGACACTGCTCAGTGCCTGAAATTAAAATGCTTTGTACTGTACTTTGTGTCAACTTGGTTATCAATGGTGCATCTCTTTATGCATGTTCAGGTTGTGCAATCTTGGATTTTGCAGTCAGTGAAGCCTCCAAATGACTTACACTAATAATCCGCCCAGCCTCCTTCTCCTGCTTTTCCCATTCAGGGTCACAGGGTGTTAGTCTGTCCTACCTGCCATAGGGCAAACATGAGGGCAATCCCTGGACAGGCCATCAGGCTGTCACTGGGCTCATTTAGTAATAAAATAATCCAATTTAAATTCCTGCAACATGATACCTGTGCAAAGCACTTTATGCTGACAGTAGTGTCAGTTTTTCTTTTAAAATTTTAAGATATTTTTAAAGTTGTAATGCTGAACTACACTGTGAGAGATTTGGTGAATGATAACAGAATTAAACTGACCTGTAAGAATCTGTTTCAGAGTTTTAGAAGTTGAGGTTTAGATTCGACCAGGCGAATCAGACTCCAGAGTCGGACTTGTGATTTGGTTCTGTCGCAAACAAAAACAGTCACACTCTTAAGAGGAATGAGTTTGGACACAAATGACTTCTAGACCAATTTATTTTTCAGTGCAAACGTGATCTGACCTCATTCCGACTCATCTGAGAGATGTACACATAAACAACTCCAGCAGCTGTGCATGCTCTGAATATTGATACACAGATGAGCAAAATCAACAGTTGCTGTAGTTGCAAACCACTACTTATTTTTTCTGCCACATGATAAAATGGGCTACTCCCAAATAATACAGAGTTATTCTAGAAGTTTCTTGAGACATGGTTTGCTTTTGTTTTGTTTTTGCTTTGACTCTGGGCTTACAGAGTAATACTGTGAACTTCTTAGTGATGTGAATTCAAGGTATATTTGACTTTCTGTACATAGGTTTCAGTGTTTCATTTGTATGTTTCACCTTTACTGTATATGTGATTCGGCACGTTTTTTGCTGAGACGTCGTTGAATCTATTCTTATGGCACACTCACAGGGAGCACTGTGTTGGCATTAACTTGGAGCTTGGAAGTCATCTAATCATGCGGCAATAGAGTACAGTGCATAAATCTTAAGTTGCACTTTATTTTTTTATTTACATTGTTTTCTTGCCTCCAAAGAGCCGGACCTCCTTGTAATTTTTAAAGTGGTCCTTAGCAACAGTTCTTCAGGCTTTCTGCTTGTAGCAAAGTGCCAAAAGTATACACAGTACTGTATGCACTACTGATCACAAATGTGAAAATGTGGCACTTTGATTGCTTTCAGGTACGCCTGGACGATTGCTCAGTGTCGAACCTGCGGATCCCATATGGGTTGGAAGTTCACAGCCACCAAGAAGGACTTGTCTCCACCTCGTTTCTGGGGTCTGACCCGTTCAGCCATGCTCCCTCGTATCCCACAGGGTGAAGGGGAGGAGGGCAGAGAGGGATCTCGCCTCTTCTGTCTGTGATACCAGACCATCTATTTGCCTCATTCAGAAAATTCCTGCAAACTTCCCACAGTCTGCATCTTTAGCCACTGTCTGGCTGCAGTTACTTCAATCACAATGCCTGTCACCCCTGGCAACAAATTCAGCATATTAGCAGAAAGGTCACTTTGGCCTTCAAATGGCAATTTTTAAGTGCATATTTGAACAGGCTGGATGTAATTATTATTCTAAAAGGTTCTTAAAATGCGGAGGCAGTGTCAAGGTTGAAAGCAGTCGGTTAGAGTGAGAGTCAAACTGAGACTTGCAGAATAGACCATGATATGTGGTTAAGATCCCAGCATGCAGCTGCCTGATCTGCACCTCTTTCCAGCTGTTTTCCAAATAGAAGAACACACAGACCCACAGGGCGTCCCCCTGTGGGTCTGTGAATACATAATACTCTTTACCTTCACCTCCTCTCCTCTGTCTTAGCTGGCTGCATGCAGCTAAAATTGAGATGTCGTCGGCAAGCTGTGATGGCCACTTTAAGCTGTTGTAAAATCCACACACAGTAATTTAATAGTCTAGCATTCAGATCCTTTGTGAGTTTCTCAGATAGGATTTCTAATATTATTATCAGCTGCGAGAGACCGGTGGAGAAAACTGTTTGAAAGAGAGTGCACTCATGTATGTGTAGATCTGTCACGATAGGAGATATTTTGAATTTTGGAATTACAGCGGATGTATTTTTGTATGCAAGAAGGTTGGAAATCAAGCTAACATATTCATTGATGTTTGGTGAAACTGCAGTTTGTTATCACAGTGGATTTGTTTTGTTCGAAACAAAAGAAACTGAAGTGACAATAATGATATTGTGTAATATATCTGATATAATCTGTATCTGTTTTGTATTCACTAGAGACTCATTATCCCATCTGGAGACAAGCATCATCTTTGATTGCACGAGTGAAAATTAGTGATGCATTGGTGCCTTGCGGCAGACTGTTTATCAAAGGTCAAAGCCCACGGAGACAGAGCAAGAGGAGCATTTACCCTTCTTTTAGTTTGTTCACGCGTGGTATGTTAAAATGGTGTGCCTACGCTCCAGCTCGGTGTCTTTTGAAGTGCGAGGAATCAGATTCAGAAAGGCAAAACGATGATAAGATTTAAGAGTTATTATTATTATTATTATTATTTTAATATTCTCTTGGGTTTTGTAGGGTGACAGTTTTCAGGATTTTACTTCTTGTGATTCTGTTGCAAAGGTTCTGGCTCACGTCTGTATTTATGTACGGTAAAACTGAGGCAGTATTTGTTGTTTATATGGCTGTCAACCGACTGTTTGTAGAGTCTAATTTATTTATTTTTTTGCAAAACTCTTTTGCTGATTCTTTGTTAGGAAATTATCTTTTTATGAGTAAGCTGAGTAACAAATGAGAAATCATCTCGAATGTTTGTCTGATGATGTGTTTTTGGATAGAGCACATATTTTTTGGATAAACGCGTCTTTTTCCTCACCTTTTCTGCTGAGAGAGGAAAACATTGTTCATGTCTGTG